CCATGTCCAAAATGTTACTTCTCACCAGTGTGCTGCTGTTGGCGGCTGGAGCCATCTTCCTGGCCACCAGGTGCGGTTGGCTTGGTTGTGGCAAGAGCACCGTTGATTTGGATGCCTACCGAAAGGATGGCTGGTTCGGCAAATCGGTTCCAGGTAACAACTGTTTTTGTGTGTGCTTGAAAGAATCATTATTTTATAACTCTTTTGCTTTTGCTCTACAGCTGGCAAGCCTGTGCCTAAAGACGACGAGAAGATTCGACCTTTCAGGCTAAACATTTCCGATGCTGATCTGCAGGATTTAAAGACTCGCCTCTCGAAAGCCCGTTACGTGGATCACATTGCTGGCACTCACTTCAACTACGGTTTCAACTCTGACTACCTGAAGAAAGTGGTCGAGTACTGGCAAACAACGTACAACTGGCGCAAGGAGGAGGCGAAGATCAACGCGTATCCGCAGTTTCAGACGCAAATTGAAGGCCTGGACATTCACTTTGGTTAGTGTTGGTGTTTTCCCATTTAGCCACTTGAAAGTAAAGTAATTCTGTCCTGTTTGCGCAGTGCATGTGAAGCCAGCGGCAAAGGCAGCGAAAGTTATTTTGCCGCTGTTGGCCGTTCACGGCTGGCCTGGCTCCTTCTGGGAGTACCACAAAGCACTACCGCTGCTCACCGAGCCTGACGAGAACGGCATTGCCTTTGAGGTGATAGTGCCCTCCATTCCTGGCTATGGCTACTCGGAGGCACCAAAACAAAAGGGTATGTTGTTGTTTTTACGATATGAAAGATTTGTAATAAAAATTTCATCACCAATTAGGCTTCGATGCAAGTGCCGCCGCTCGGGTGTTTAACAAGCTGATGAAGCGTCTTGGTCATGAAAAGTTTATTGTTCATGGCGGCGACTGGGGCTACCTCGTGAGCAGAATGCTCAGCGTCATATTCCCTGAAAAGTAAGCAATACTAGGATGTGATTGTCCAAGTTTTGAGCTAATGATATCTCTTTACATCTTCCCCATTTGCAGCACCATTGGCGTTCATCTGGTGGGCAATATGATGGGCAAACCTGCTTCTGCCTGTCAGGGATTGAAAGCGTTCCTTGCGGCCACCGCTCCCAGTCTGCTCTTTGGTGCAGAGGACGCCCAGCGAGAGTACTCGAAGATGTTTCCTCTAGGGAAGAAGCTCGGTTTTATGCTCGAGGAGACTGGCTACTTTCACATTCAGGCAACCAAGCCGGACACGGTGGCCGCCGGTCTGGTGGACAGTCCAGTCGGTCTGGCCGCCTACATTCTCGAGAAGTTCTCCACGTGGACTAATCCGCAGTACCGAAATGAGGAAAATGGTGCACTGACGAAGAAGTTCACC